AACTACAGACGCTTCTTCCAATTAGATTCTACAATAATAAAAAAATGTTATAACAGAAAAAAATGCCACGTATAGTAGATACTGAATTCTAATCCCTAGATATCCCATTTACAAAGCAAAAATAAGGATGAAAACTTGGGTTCGTCACTTAAATTCTGCACTTACATACCTGATTAGGTATATCAGGTATTTTCTTGAGTGCACTCTCACTCAGTACACACAATATCATTGGCATAGCCAGTGAACATACAAGCCCTCTGAAGTCAGGAGCCCCATCACCCAGTGGCAGCTTATGGCAAAAGAACTGCTCACAGAAATGCAGAAACACTCAATGTCAATTACAACAACAAAGTACTGAGTGTGAAAACAGATCTGACGAGTTGAACTCACTCAGACATCTGTGGGTACCTTCTACACACCCTTGTCCTGAAGACTCTTCCAAACATAAGCTCAAGGGTGTTAACTTCATGAAAATGCAGTATTTAGATGAAGCCTAAAATCTTAGATGTCTCATAATATGAAACTCTAACATCTTAGATGATGAGTTACACAAGCTCAAATCTCTACTGGATTATTACTTTATTGGTACTAAGCTCATCAGGAAGCATCCTGGCACCCTACCTCCCAATATCAAGTAGAGGGCATAAAGGTGGAAGCTGAACAGGACATGGAACACAGTACATGTTCTATGTATATTATTGTCTGAAATTTAATATTCTCTTCAATTAATCATTAGATATGTCATAATAAATCTTGACAGTGAATACTTACTGCATTAAAGACACAGGCATGGGGGTCACCGTAAATTACAGAAATAAACATGTATGACAATGAAAGAAACCCAGTCCCATTACTCTGTATTATTAATTTTTACTTGGAATACAGTAATTATTAATAGTACAAATAGTTTCTACTACCAATGATGCTATAATTGAGTGAAATTATTGCAACATAATTATACTGGCAGAAACAGGTCACCATCAACTGCCAAACCATATAAATGAGCTGTGTTAGACATGATAAGGATGGAAAATTGGAGCCACTATTTTAATGGAATGAGATGTCAGATATCTTGGAGGATGAGTTTGTTTTCCTATATGGCAGGTATGTGAGCAGTGGTAGACAGTAGGTCACACATGATCATCTCCAGAGATGAGAACTATCACCCCTTTATCTTATAAAAAATATATGCTCCTGCAGCATCTTAAACAAATGCCACTGGTCAAACTTGGGGGTATACATAGAAGGATACAAAGAGATCCATATTTATCACCCTGCACAAAACTCAAATCCAAATGGGTCAATGTCTCAACATAAAGCCAGATATACTGAACCTGATAGAAAAGAAAGTGGGGAGGAGCCTTGAACTCTGGTACAGGAACTTTCTGAACACAACACCATTAGCACAGGCACTAAGATCAACCTCATGAAACTTGAGAAGTTTCTGTGTGGCCAAGGACATCATCATTTAGATAAAATTGTGCCTACAGAATGGGAAAAGATTTTTTTTAACAACTATACATCTGATAGAGGACTAATATCCAAAATAGATAAAGAACTAAAAAGAAAATTACCAAGAAAACAAATAACCCAATTTAAAACTATGGTACTGTTCTAAACAAAGAATCTTCAAAAGAGGAAAGTTAAATGACCAAGAACACTTTGTTCAACATATTTAGCCATTAGGGAAATGCAAATCAAAACTGCTCTGAGATTTTTATCTTACTCTTGTCAGAATGGCAAAAATAAAATAAAACAAGTGACAGCTCATGCTGACGAGTCTGTGGAGTAAGGGAAACACTCATCTGTGGCTGGCAGGAGTGCAAACTTGTACAGCCATTGTGGAAATTAGTGAGGAGGTTCCTCAGGAAGCTGGGAATCCATCTGCCTTCAGACCCATCTATACCACTCTTGGTCACATACCTGAAAAACACTTCATCCTGCCAGAGACCCTTGTTTAACCAATGTCATTGGGGCTCATTCGGCCCTGAATGGGACGTCTTCAGACAAATCTCTCCTCTTGGGGCTCAGGAATCCATGTGGGAAGGGGAGGCAGAAAGACTAAGAGCCAGAGGGGAAGGAGGACTCCAAGGAAGCAGTGTCTTCCAGACACAACAGGACTGACACGGATATGAACGCAGAGACCAAGGCAGCATGCACAGGGCCCACACAGGTTCAAGTCAGATGGGGTCCCTATGCTGAGAGGTGGGACATCGACATAAGTCCCACCTCTCAACTAGAAACTATCTGCGATTGGCACCCACTTGCGAAGGACAAATCAGTTTCTCCAATGGAACCTCACTGGTTATACATATCACCACTCCTCAGGGCAAGTCCATGCCTAGGAGTAGTTAGCCAACCCAAAGCAAACTCAATGGTGTTTGTGTAAACTTTTAATCTCATTTTGCTTTGTTTGGTGGGCTTGAGACTTCCTCTTGGAACTAGCCACTCTAGAAAGGACATGTGTAAACACTGGCAAATGGTTGCCCCAACTAGACCCTCAGCCACAGACAGCGGTGACTTCAAGCAATGAGAGCAATTTTGCCAAGACAAACAGGCCTGCCAAGCTTGGTGGAGTGCGGTCCCAAACTCTGGCCTAAGCAGGAAATGGACACAAGTTCTCTAGACTCCTAAGAGGCATCATACACTGTATTCAAGACTCTACAGTTGAGATGATTTTTGCTTGTTTGTTTTGAAACAGACTACTAAACATTCCTATACTTCCTATAGTAGGTAGTAAATTTTCCTGGAGAATGCTTTGAGGAGTTTTCTGAGAGTAGTACATGTAAGTAGAGGCCACCAATGCCTGAGGTACTAAAGTGTGACAATACGAGACTGAAGACTAATGAGCAAGAGGACTACAGTCATTCAACGATGAACAAGAGTGACGGAGGACACAGGGGACAGCAGAGTGACGGAGGACACCAGCGACAGCAGAGCGAAAAGTCAGGAGACTTCACACTCAGAAACATAAGAAATGCGGAGGGGAGGTCAAGATGAATTCTGGGGACCAAACAAAGAAACGAGAAAAGAAGAGGGCTCCAAAAGAGAGCACATGTGCAGGAAGCCAGAGGATGCTATATGGGAGCATGGGGGGTGCCACGGGAGGGCATCCAGCCAGCAAAGGGCAAGGCCGACAGGGAGCTCATTTCTGTCGCTATTCTACAGCACCCACTTACTTCTGGGTGAAGTTAACCCCGCTCTTCTCTCTGTCTCTGTCTCTCTCCATTTAAAGGAGAGGAAGTAAAGAAAAAAAACAGGGAGGAACAGAAGAAGTGGGAAAAAGGGAGAAAAGGATTATTTGCCAGTAAATATCTTACTAAAATTTAAAACCTCTTAAAGATAAACTTGTAATAGTAATTTAAATACATTTATCTCAAACTAAAATCATCTGCCATGGTTTGAATGTTCTTGTACTAAGTAAACAAACCATGCTGGATGCCGAGACCCTGAAGACACACAGTCAGGCGATCTAATCTGGGCTTTGCCCTCATGAATGGACTGGCTAATGTCAGAGGAATGGGCTCATTAACTGCAAGTAGTTTCTGATAAAATGGTGCTTTAACACTACCACAACTAGTCCTTTGACCTGCCTTTCACCAAGGGAGGACTCAGCACAATGGGAGGACTCTGCACAATGGGCGGACTCAGCACAATGGGCGGACTCTGCACAATGGGCGGACTCTGCACAATGGGCGGACTCTGCACAATGGGAGGACTCTGCACAATGGGAGGACTCTGCACAATGGGAGGACTCAGCACAATGGGAGGACTCTGCACAATGGGAAGACTCTGCACAATGGGATGATAGTATTTTTCATCTTTCCCACTGTGAATGTTTGGTTTATTTACATTAATAAGTTGCTACTCAAATAAGAACTGCACTCATAATTAGAGCTAAATCTAAGCACATTCTAGAAGATTTACAAAGACTATGAGAAACACTCAGTACTACAATTCTAAAACTTTCGGTTTAAAGACTCAGAAGTGTTTAACTTGCAAGACCAGCAAAGTAAAACCACTGAGTCCTCCTTCGTTTATAGCTACTGCCATTCTTATAGCTAGGTGGCAATTTTACGAGTATATCGATAACTAACATAACTGGTAGCTATCAAAGAAAAGAAAATTTGGTTTTTTTTTTGTTTTTTCTAGACAGGGTTTCTCAGTAGCTTAAAACAACATAGATTTGCTGAGTGCTTCATCAAAACCCAACTTCACCAGCACTGTACACTGTCTGTAATCTACCGCATTTATGTTCCATGATTTCATACTTAGTTAAATCATGAGTTAACTTAAAAAATTTACCTTTCAATTTGTAAGTCGTGACACCAAGTTTCTCACTTCAACATTAAAAATAAAGTTATATTATGCAAAGGTACCACATGCCTACGCTCTTGGGTAGCAACTGACAAATAACTTGGTCAGGAAACAGAGGATGGGAGAGGACCAATGCAAACAGCTGCACCTCTTCATGAATCAAAGGCTTCCACCATTATCCTGGCTTTTATTTACTTAACAAGCTGACCGTTTACTTCAGTGTACACCAACAATGCCGCAGTCCAAGGAGCAACAGTGGGTTTCCAGGGAAAATGTAAGAGAAGAAACCATGGTCTACCAGTTACTAAATTATTTCTTCCTTTAAAATAATTAGGATCTGGGATTGATGAAAATCAAGAAACTTCATGAAAGATCAATGAAGAAATTCAATAATATATAAAAACAGCATTACAAAGATGAGGAAATGCTTGGATCACAAGCTATATATTTGCCATCCTTTGGCTTCCATTTGTAAAAATATTATAATCATAACAACAGCAATCACTGTGCCAAGTTAGTTCTGAGCATTGAATATAACTGTCATGGAAGAAAACCTATTTCTTCAGAAAAAAAATAGACTTAAAGAAAAATTTCCTTAAAGTATTGTTGAATAAAGGTCAGATCCACAGAAACAAAAATTGCCAAGGAAGTGGGAAAAAGTCTACGAGTAATTACAGACCTACCTTGGCTCCTTTGCACTCAGTTGTATTACGGATTTTTTTGGCAGAGAATCTTGTGAACTTTGCTTCATATCCTGTAAGAAAGGCATAGTGTTTTTAATTTTACTTTTAAAACTAAGCATTGAAATTAGCTATCAACACTACCTTGTAAAATTTTTGGAAAGAATAAATATGGGGGCAACAATTCTCTTTCAAAGTATATGAAGCATGTAAAAATTCAAAGCAAATAATCCTAATTTTGTTTGTGTGTGAGAGAAAGACAGATATCTCTCTCACTCATTCTCTTTCTCAGAGACAGAGACAGAGAGATGAGACCATCAGAACCAAGCACAATATGCATTAGTGGGCTAGAGTTCACAATCGCACAATGGGTTGCTCCATCTTCTAACTAAATAAACCCAAGTGCTAGAGAAAATTCTCCCCAAATCTTTGCATTCTTTATCTCAGATCCTTAGGAAATACACATTTACTTCTTTTGGTTTTTTTTTTCACTTTAAAATGAAAATTTGTAATCATGACTTGATTACAAGCATCCATTTAAGAAAATATTGAAGCTGCATCTCTAATTCCATATATGTAAATTCAAATTGCATACAAAATTCCAAATCCCAACATTCATAAAAAGATGCCAATGATAACTCAGCCACCATTTTAAACATCCAAGTTGTCAGGAGGATGTGCAGAGGGTATTAGCCATCCTCTATATGTGTAGAGGGTGCCAGCCATCCTCCAGATGTGCAAAGGGTACTAGCCATCCTCCAGATGTGCAGAGGGTGCCAGCCATCCTCCAGATGTGCCGAGGTTGCCAGCCATCCTCCAGATGGCTCTTCCTGAACGAGGGGCAGCACGTTCCTTTCAGTGCACTCTCTGCTACACTAACTCTTCTACAACCTCAACACCAATATGAGCCAGGCAGACATCACCATGCTATTCCCACACAATGAAAACGAGCTAGGAAAACTTTCAAGGCCCTCACAAGGAGGTCCTGGCAGAGGCCAAGAGCTGATCTAATTCCTTAAATCTGCACCACCAATGCACATGTCTCAGCACTGTCCACAGTACTCAGTGAACCTATCCTGACACCAAAAGGACCCTTAAAATAAGTTTCACTAAAAGCAGATTAGGGAATTAAAAAACTCAAGTATCAAGAGGTTTCTAATTATAGTCAACCAGAATAATGAATTATAATGCCCAGTTGCTTTTACAATGAAAGTGTTTGAAAAGCCTATCAATCCATTTTACTTACCCAGAAATGAATTCACTGGGTCATTGTTCATGCTAAGATTTAAGTATAATGAATTACACACAGAAATCAAATGCAAACATACCTATAGGAAAGAGACGGTTGAATATGCAGACATTTGCACAAAGTGATACAAATTCTTTAAATAATGGACAAAACAAGTTTTATACTTTAATATTATTTCAATGGAGCTTCTAAAAGAATCAAATGGTTTTTATAGTCATAGAAGAAAATAACTAACCATCTCTAAGAAGGAGTCAGAAAGCTGAGATTGGTACATCTTCTTATCCTTTAAAATGAGAAGAAACGCAGAGTCTCCAATTATCTTCTCCAAAAAGTTTAATGACTGAAAGAGTCTGTAAAGCAAAATTTTATTAGTTCGAGAACTGAAAAATTTGCATATATTTTCATTTTTACAACAATGGCCAAACCACTTTCATCTTATATTCACAAACCTAAATACATAAAGATTCTATATGACTAGCTCTTTGCTTTCCTCTAGAACTAATTATTAAGGGGAAAATGGTAGATCACAGGATTCCACCAACAAAGGTTCAGTTAAAATAAAACTCTCCTGGACATACCAAAGTCACACCAACATATCCAAAATGCTTACAGTTCTTACAAATGTGCCAAATAAGAAAATCTATAATAATTACAAAAGAATACATTACATACATTATTTACTTCTTAACCCAAGAAACATTGGGTGTTAATAGAACAGCAAAAGAAAATATGCTATTAACTCTACCTTAGCAAAACTATCCAATTTGTCTGTAAGCTATTCCTGAGAATTAACAGTGACATCTGGTTGGATTTATTTCATGTTCTTGCTCAAGACAATTAGGAAGAAGAGTTCTCACAGATCTGGATGATAGGATGGTCTTCATCTTTGTTGCTTTTCTTGATCACTGACATTAATAACTACACTCAAGTTTTACTTTGTGTCTGAGGAACAAAAGCAGAGCTAAGAACCCGCTGATTCCCAGCTCTGGAATACCCTGTCAGTAGATCACAATTGCTGAGGCAACCCCTGGAGAAAAGGATTTGGTGTAGATTTGCTATAACTTTCCAAACCCACACTTGTAGAAGGCTTTATACACTAAGAATCCTTAAACAAACAACTGATGCAGGGATCCGCAATGCAAAATAACTTTGTCAACCATGTCAGTTGATGGGAATGACCTATTGTACTTAGAGCACCGACCATCACTCTCTCTATTGCAGGGAGCAATCTGGCCATCTATGTGCTAAAACATGTTTGCTTACATTTTGCAATAGCAGCAAAACTCCATAAAAGATTCTGGACATGGGTATGGTCTCAGCACACAGGAGGCTGAACCAGTAAGATCACCAAAAATGTGACACCAACCAGGAATACACAGTGAGTTCAAGCCTGAACTACAGGCTTTGTCTCAAGACAAACAAAAAAAAAATCTCTAAATCAATTAGAACACACACACACATACAAAACCTTCCTTTTGCAGAATGTAAAACCTTAGGTGTACATGATCAATATTATTAATAAGAAAAACTTACATAGTAAATCTATAAACTAATAACAAAATCTTATGGGCCCTAGTTCTTACTATAATCCAGATAAATTACTCAGCATGTCCTCATGTTTGCCCTTAGCATAGGTGTTCTCAACAGACTAAAGACCAGAAGGCTGAAGGTAGTTTAGTTAAGGAGATGATTCCTTCAACCCACGCTCATTTGTGCTAGCTGCGTGCCCCTCCTTATCAGACAGCTAAGCCTGTAGAGTCGTGTTCGACAATCGTGTAAGCCGAACATGGAGCCGGCATATTAAAAAGTGCCAATTAAAGTGAGTCAACAGCACCGTTGATGTGTTCGTCTGTCCGATGCACATGCAGCGTCCCAATGCGATAGCACCGGGGGGGAGAGGAGCAGTCCCCAGCCAGCTCCCCATGGCACACCAGCCTGCTTTCTTTAAAGCAGCCAGATGAAGCCCAGTGAGTAAGCTCAGGAAACTCCGGGCAGAACATAATTTTAAACATTTAAACCTCTCATCAATGTGAGACTTCGCCTCTCGCACCCTAACGTGAACTCATCCTGTTTCTACAGAACTCGGCTCAGAGAACACACACTCGGGGGCCAGAGTTGTCTGTTTATGGTCATGGCTGATGTTTAAACAGCTGGTACCGTGCCTGTCAGTCAACAGTCTCATCTGTCCATTTGGCTTTCTCTTGCTACTGCAACTACAGCACAGGGAGACTGAAAGACTTCCACATCTTTCCGCCACTGCCGTCTTCCCTGCTATCAGCCGCACTGTCTACCTGGGAAGCTAAGAGCCGTCACAGTGTCCCAGGAGGCTTCATGCCTTTCCTGTCATAATGAAAAGTAGCCCTCCATACGCCATGAGACACTCTCTTTTTCCACCTTAAACAGCCTGGTCTCCAGAGCGAAGTCTGGGACAGCCAGGGCTACACAGAGAAACCCTGTCGGAAAAAAAGGGAAAATAACAAATAGGCAAATATTTGGCTACTGTTGAGAGCACAGCTCTGAGACTCACACTGGGGGAAAGAGAAAACGTTGGAAGAGCCTAAATCCCTAGGGCTCTGTGGAGTTGGCATACTGACTAGGTGATCTACGGACGTTTAAATATGACATGAGGATAAACAGGGTGAGATTAATCATGCTTGGAATTGCTTTTACTAGCCCTCAGTCCCTCACTCACACAGCTGCTCGCAGGTCCATGCCTGCCAACACGTGAATGAACAGCAGTCAACAGAAGACAGGAAGAAAGCGCCAGTGCTAACCGCCTCTTTGTCGCTAACTCTCTAACACGTGTTTTGAAATCTCTTTCTTGAAAGTGTCTGTGCTAATGACTTGATAATTGTTTACGACTTTTCGGTTGAAGTGTGAAGTACTGGCAGAGTAAATTCACAAATGTCAAGAACAATTTGAAAATGACTGTGTCTTCCCGCCCCCTCTAACAGGAAGTGCTGCACAGGCCTGGTTTATTAAGCGTAAGTATCAGAAACTACATTGGGTACCGAGTGCCGGCCTCCTACAAAGGCCACGAGACAGAAAGTGAACAGAAGTTCAATGTCCTGTGGCCAGGAACCTTTGCTATGGGAGCCGGATAGAGCAGGTGGTTTGAGCATTGGCCTATAATCCTCAACCTGTCAGAGGCAAGAAAAAGGACAAGCAGGTATTGACCTTGCTTTCCAGCTGCTTTCTAGAGAGAAACCCTGACCCCACCACCATGAATTCCAGCTCAGCCTCTGCACAGAATACGTTCAGGAAAACCTGTTTCTCCCAAGAAAACTGAGAGAATATGCAAGACGCTGCCTTGGACAGAATTTTTGAAGGAATGAAATCTATAGTGAGGCTTCAAAAATATCTGTTTCCTCTTCATTTCTAGAAAACCAGTTAAATTACTGTAACTATAACTTTAGCAGTTAGTACTGTCAATTGCAAACCAACTGGTTAGTATTGATCTCACGTGCCCCATAGACTTTTCACCTCCAAGAATAGTTACAAAACAATTCAAGTTTTAAATGTATAGGAACATCACAGCATGTGTCTGATGATTTTACAATACTACAGAGTATAGCATCTTGTATGCGTATTTCTTAGCAAAGGGAATTAAACTAAAAGGTCCCATGCACGGTAGACAAATTCTCCACCACTCTCCCACCTCCGCACCCCTGCACAACAAGGTCATGAGAACCTAACTGAATGACAGTCTGCACAGTCAAAGGCAATGGGGAAGATGTCTTGTCCAATGTGAAACCCTCCTGAGTGGAGCCCTGCGCTGAGTTATCCAGACAGGCACGATGATAGAGACCCCCAGCACTGAAGGTCACTTTCCCACTGCTGGGAAGCACTGGTTACAAAGATGTCAGCCCTTCCAGGCCACAGTGTACGCGCAGCTTCTAATTCTTCAGTACTATTCTTTAATCTAAGACTTCTTTAGAAATAACTGAGTGCCTGCTTCCTCAACTGTCCTTCATCTCCGTGCCCCGGCCACCATTCGCACTTCCACCTGCTCTCGTCACCCGTACACAAGTGACTTATTCCAGTCCTTTCTGGTTACCCTTGTATCCTACGCCTGGCAGTGCCCCCCTGAGAATATGTCGAGCATCCAAGAACACCTGTATCCAACAGGAGACAGGGTCGAGCTGCTGATAAAGACGTCAGCCCGACTGTCAAACTGTACTTAGAGACGGCAGGACTGGCTGTAAGACAACGCTAGCCCCCTGGAGCCTGAAGTCAGAAGCTGGGGCTACTATGATGCTTCCACAGGGCTCTGGAAAATTGGTGATGTTTGTCTATAGCAATCTATAGAACAAATAACACTATGTATGGATCTGATATACACTGGTAGCTTCATCCCCAGACACACACACACACACACACACACACACACACACACAATCGTATGACTCGAAGTTAAAAGGATTTTATGTCAATCTGTGTTTCTATAATGGCATTACCTGGTACCATAATCCACAACCACCCAGTCTTTCGAGGTTCCTGTGATAGCATCATGGTGCTGAAAGAGTCCTAGGTTCCTTCTGGCTTCTGTCAGTGTTGTGTAGTGTGGTGACGAGAGGAACTTACTTATCTTGTATTTCTGAGCTTGCTTCAAGGCCAAATAGTAAAGAATTTCAGCAGTCCTAAGTGTATAAAAGAATCATTAGTATATTTTCTGAAACAAACATTTTAGCTTATCATCACTGAGGCTTTTGCTGCTGTTGCTTTCATATTTGAAACAGGGTCTTACTATGTAGACCAGGCTAGCCTTGAACTCATAGAGATTCACCTGTCTCTACCCACTGGTGCTAGATTTAACACATACACTACCATGCCTGGCACACTGATGATTTTCAAATGTAGTGTTTAAAAAGAAATACACAATTTCAATGCAAACTCAATCAGAAGATACCAACGATAATTTTTCTAAGAAACCAAAACAGTACCTATCTAATGTATTTAAGTTCTCGATCACCAGTGGAAGCAGGCAGTGAGACACCAGGCCTGGTGTGAGCTTCTGACACACCGCTTCCAACAAGGCCACACCTCCTAATCCTTCCCAAACAGTTCTACCAACTGGGAGCCAAATTTCAAATCTATGAGCCTGTGAGGACAAACTACCACAGAAAGCAAGTAAGACAGTTGTTGTACTGAATGTTTTTGTTTAGAGTTTTATTTTGTTTTCTACTTTGTAGGCCAGACTGCCCTCCAACTCCTGCAAATCCTCCTACATTAGCCTCTTGGGTACTGGCATGAACTATTGTCTGTCTTTTTCATATGTTTTAAAGACTAAAATGGCTTTAGGACAAGAATGAGAGCTTATGGTTTTGAAGACATGTTTCTCAACAGGTTTCTTTTAAAATGTTCTTAAAGGCAACATGGACTAAAAGGTTCTGCATAACAAACATGCTACAGAGAATAGATGAAGGCTTCTTAAAAATCTATCAATAATTGGGAAAAAGGAGACAAAGAAGTGCTTTTTGTAAAAAGTCATGAGCGATCTAAATTGTAGAGATACAGAAAAGATAGAAATAACACCATTTCTTTGCCAGACTCATGCCATGAGAGTGAGCTGGTCAGAGTTAAACAAATCCTATGTATGCCCACTTACATCATGACCTTCCTGCTTTGGAATATAGTAAAAATAATAATAATAATAACAATAATAAATATATATTTATACACTCTTCTTTCATGCCTGAGATTTTCTTTAAGAAATGTATGATATTGAAAACCTATCTTTCTAAAATGTATTCATTCACAAGACACTAACACATGAAAGAGGACGGGTAAGACTTTAACAGCAAGACTCAGCTTGCAGGGGCTGGAGAGATGGCTCAGTGGGTGGTGGCCATGGCTGCCCTTCCGAGAACACTTGGCTTTGGTTCCAGTTCCCAGCATCCACATGGCAGCTCAAAACCATCTCTAACTCCAGTTCCAGGGGATGTGGTACCTTTTTCTGGCTTCCCCAGGCATCAGACACACATGATGCACATATATACATACATATAAGCAAAACACACATATACATAAGATAAAAACAAACAACTCTTTCAAACAAAAAAGATCATCTTGAAAATTCTTTTCTCAGCTGGGTCATGGGTGAAGGGAAAGAAGGCTTGGGCATCTCAGGCTACTTCACTGCACAGAACATCTGACTGGGTGTCTCAGACACCTGTTCCTGATGTGACCACATGTGGATAGAGCCATGTGCATGAAACATAGACTCCAGGTCTCGGCTGCAGTGGCCACATTTCCATGGCTCTCACAGTGGACATCCCAGAAGCACAAGGCTCGCTCTGTCGCCGAGGGACAGTTCTTCTGGGCTGTGCTGTCTGATGCTCTTCTGTTTGCAAGCTGCATTTCCACAGAAGCCGTTTACTTACTCAATCAACCATCTGCTTGCCCCCTCAATTCTTATCTCTTTCAAATTCTGTTCTTCTCAGCAGAAACATCACATCTAGAGAAAGGTACTTAAAATAGACCAGAGCCGAGATGGCGCCTCTGCAGTTCTCCCACAGAGAAAACACACCGGCCACTGCTGGGAAGTCCTGTGTGCCTCTTCACTCTGACAGTTCAGCCTGCCTGCGGGTCACACGGCAGTGTCACCTCATGTTAGCGCAGAACAGAGACAATTCAGGAAAACTCACTAGAGATATACAGGATATAAGTTGAAGAAAGCACAATCCAATAAGCTGCTTTTCCCTCAGCACAGGGAAAGTGTGATAATTTGATTACACAACAGAGACATATTCTGATTGCATTAAAACTGTAGTTACATTAAATATATAGCACCACAGAAAGGATGCATACAAACTCTATTAAAATGCTATGGTGATGTAAAGAATGAACACATGGAGTCGTTTCAAGGCCTAGTACCTCAAGCGAGACTCCATGATCCTATCCATCCGTTTGTAGAATGGTCTGGATGTGAAGTACCCACTCCAATAGTGATCGTCTCGGTCGGCGTAGGTGAAGAAGTCTCCACTCAGGACGGGGAACAGGGACTGGCCACTCCTCTTCTCCGCTGCTGCTGCTGCTTTTTCCAATGCATCAAAATAATCAGATAAAGTTCCAAACTGGATCTAGGAAATAAAGTTGAAGAGTTGTATTTTAATTATTCAAGGATATCCTAGAGTGGTTACTTCTTACACAGAAAGGAAAAATTCGTAAGTATCTGGGAAGAGTTTGCAAGTTGACGTGAGTACAAAGGTTACAGTCACGAGTGAAACGTGGGGAACGGAGGGTCCCACTGACTCTTTCTTTGACTTGCACCATGACCCAAATTTAACTAAGAGAAAACGTGCCTATCTAAGCAGTTTAAAGAACTATCTGGATCTACAAGTCTATAGACCCAAGAAAAACTTACAAAGGCTCAAAATGCTGAAGGATTCAAAGAGTAGTTCAGATGAACAGACTGGTCAGTGGTAAAAACTTGAAAAGTACAAAATGCTCTGGAAATCTGGAAACATGTCTAACCACAAGGCGTCTCACATATCATACTTCTCCTGACCTTGGTTCTTGTGTGAATGGCGAGGCTTTCGGAACGACAGGGAACTCACAAAGTGGACGTCCTCTACAGAGTGGAGGAGAAACAGCAGGAATGACAGCAGCTGCAAGGCTGGCACCACAGAACTGCCTAACCCTGAAGGGACAGGTAAGACGGGACGGGCAGACCCTGGAAGAGGATAGCACACGGGAGGGCTGTGATGGGCCGCACTCCATAGGGGCAGTCACTGCGTGGGACAGCAGAGGGCACACAAGAAGGACAACTGAAAGAACTCAGCACCTCGTCACATAAAAACAAAGTAAGAAATGGTGAAAATGAGGGTCTCGTCAGATGAAGGGATTCTGACAAACCCAACAGCAATCAGCAAAAGACCACACACAACTAAAGTCATTAAGCTGATTACAATGTTAAACTACAAAGGCCAGGGGCATTTTATACATAGAATATATCAAATTCATGATGTCAAAAAGTTATCTGCTCCCACCCAGAACCTCAGATGCAATACAATCCTAACATGAGATCAAAGTTTTATTGGTTTGTTGTTGCTGTTTGTTTATTTGCAGAAATTAAAAAGTTTGCCTAGACACATATAGAACTACTATAGGCCAGTGGACCACAAACCCTTTGGGGGATTGAGTGATACTTTCACAGGGGTCCCTAAGACCACCGGAAAACACAGTTATTTATAGTAGAGTCATAACAGTAGTAAAGTTACAGTTATGAAGTAGCATTGAAAATAACTTTATGGTTGGGGTCGCCTCAACACGAGGCCCTGTTACAGGGTCACAGCGTTAGGAAGGCTGAAGGAGCAGTCACAGCAAAAGTCTATCCTGATCCCAGCCTCACGCCATCACTGCACCCTATTCCAGACGTAACTGTGGGTCTGAACATGAGGCACACTGAGCTTACCCTGAGGAACAAGGCAGGGTACGAAAAGATAGCTGTGTGCCCATGTCTGCTGCAGATCCACTTACAATAACCAAGCTAAGGATTCTGCCTTGATGTCCGTCAACGGATGGATGGAGAAAAGTATGCAGCGCATTCACACAATGGATCATTACAGCATAAACAACAACACACCGGACCCAGAGAAAGGGGCAGACCTGGAGGTCACCACACCAGACACAGAGAAAGGGGCAGACCTGGAGGTCACCACACCGGACCCAGAGAAAGGGGCAGACCTGGAGGTCACCACACCAGACCCAGAGAAAGGGGCAGACCTGGAGGTCACCACACCAGACCCAGAGAAAGGGGCAGACCTGGAGGTCACCACATGGGACACAGTTGAAAGGGGCAGACCTGGAGGTCACCACACGGGACGTGATGAAACACACACACATGGAGATCACCCTGATAAACCATTCTGAGTCAGAAAGTCAGAGAAACGAGTATAATGTTTTCTCTCATGTGTGGACTCTAAAGGGAAAAAGCAGAACTAGAAAGGGATTGTCAAGAGTGGAAAGGGACTCTCATGAGGAAGAAGCAGGTTAGCATGGGTAGCATGAACACAACAGCTGACGTGTGTGTGAAAACACAGGGGAGGCCACTGTATGGTGCAGGTGCCACACACCAGAAGAGGAAGACACACAGCATCTGGCTGAGCCCAGGGGAAGGGAGCATAAGCAACCACGTCTATCACTGTGGCTTGGTTCTGAGTCCCCAGAAGGCTCACGCTTGAACACCCGTTCTCATGCTGGCGCGGGGGAGGTGGTGGACTCTTCAGAAGGTGGGTCCTAAGCAGAGGACACAGCTCACTGGCTGTGCTCTTCCAGGAAGAACTGGGACCCTCAGCATCCCTCTCCCATGCCCTCCCACCATGGTGCCTAGCTGCCTCACACGACCAGAAACACAGAGACAAGGAACATTAAGATGTTGAAACTGTGGGCCATGAAGCTCTGGATCCCCTTAGTGTGCCTACCAAATGACAAGGGTCCCATTACACGCCCACATGCATTCATATGGTAGTCAAAGACTGCCTAACATAACATGGTCAAGCAGTTTTATTTGTATGAGAAAGAAACTGAAAACAGCCTAAATCTCAAACAACAGCACAAATGTTTAAAGATACCACAGACACTGGACAAAACACAGCACAGCAGCAGAAGGAAGAGAAGTCTCCGTGATGGGGGTGAGTGCTGCACTTACCTGTGGATATAAGAACAAATACTTAGAACGTAGTTAGGGACACCGTGGCTGGCAGTGGTACTAAGTGTCTCCTAGGGCCAATCAAGTCTCACCAACCTGACTGCTTGAACATGAGCTGAACAAGGTCAACAACAGACTTGCCAAGGGGCCGGGGAAAAGACCATGAGGTCTCAAGCCTACACAAGGAACTACAGGTAGTTAAGGAGTGCTGAGAGGGGCCAAGTGGTCTTCCAACATCTATACCAAATGGTCAGCCCTGAAAACATATACACACGTGACCTTACACAGACCCAGCAGGTTATATTTAAGGATATATACATATACACGCACCAACAATAAAAGAGGCCATGGATTTGGAAGAGAACAAAGCTAGGTATATAGGAGGCTTTGAAGGGAGGAAAAGGAAGGAAGGTTGATGTAATCACAAAAGATAAAGAAGTAACTCTTTAAAAAGAACGAAGAGGGTGTTTGAGACTGCAATGTCACCCAAAGGAAACAGGCAGAAACGTGTGATCCCTTCCTAAGAAACTCAAGGAGAGAAGGGAGGGAGAGCTCAGGGTGTCTCTGCAGCAGCTGGCGGGGAAGTGGGAGGGGCGTGAGAAGCTGCTTCGGAGCGTGATGTCCTGAGCTTGATGCCGGGTGATGCTCACAAAGGAGTCTTTTAAGCTAAAAAAAATCCTCTGCTTAACCTTCTGTACAAATTTTTTTGTATGTGATACTTCATCAAATTACCTTCAAAAAGGGAAAATAACAAAATTAGGGCAAATTCTTTAGGGTCCAATAGGAAATTAGACTAGAAATCATTCCCAAATAAGACGCATTTAGAGGGCTCAGTGGACAAAGCATCAGTCACAAACATGAGGACCGGAGTCAGGATCACCAGAGCCCACATAAGAAAGCCACACCGCAGTGTGCATCCACAAACAGCACCAGGGAGTGGAGCCGAGTGGGCACCGGAACTCGTCAGTCAGGCAGCTGCCATATACGTACACTCCAGGGTCAGGCAAGAGACTCTGCCTCAGACAGTAAGGTGAGGAGTGATCAGGGAAGGTACTCGGCGTGAACCTCTGGTTTCCACACTCATGCACACAGAGTAAACAAACAAATAAAAACAAAAATGATGCATTTAGAAGTAAGATATCTTCACACAGCCTTCTCTGAGCTTCACTCAAGACTTACATACATTTCCTTTGCTCAACGTCAAGTGCTGGCAAAAATTTAACTGTAAATATTTGGGATAATTTTTTTTTTTGTGGGCTGGAGAGACGTCTCTGTGGTTAAGAGCACTGGCTGCTCTTCTAGAGGACCCAGGTTCAAGTTTCAGCACCCACATGGCAGCTCACGACTCTGTGTAACTCCGGTTCTAGGGGACCGAATGCCCTCATGCAGGCCAACCACCAATGCATATTCAAAAAAAAAAGATAAACTAATTTACTTGGTATTATAGAAACTCACATAGTGAACGTAAATTCTTACCACAGAGGCTATGACTGACTGAGTTTTAGAACTTTCTCCACAGAGACAGCACTTCCTCCCACAGGCCCACTGTGCTGTGGGTAGATGCATGACTATGAGAAACACATTGAAGAGTGAACCTCCTCACACACTCGCTCCAAGATGCATGACTATGACAAACACATTGAAGAGTGACCCTCCTCACACACTCGCTCCAAGATGCATGACTATGACAAACACATTGAAGAGTGAACCTCTCGCATACTCTCTCTAAGATGCATGACTATGAGAAACACATTGAAGAGTGACCCTCCTCACGCACTCACTCCAAGATGCATGACTATGAGAAACACATTGAAGAGTGAACCTCCTCACGCACTCTCTCCAAGATGCATGACTATGACAAACACATTGAAGAGTGACCCTCCTCACACACTCGCTCCAAGATGCATGACTATGACAAACACATTGAAGAGTGAACCTCTCGCATACTCTCTCTAAGATGCATGACTATGAGAAACACATTGAAGAGTGACCCTCCTCACGCACTCGCTCCAAGATGCATGACTATGAGAAACACATTGAAGAGTGAACCTCCTCACACACTCCCTCCAAGATACAGCTAAAACAAGACTTTGCTGACCACATGCAACAAATGCATCAGATTGAAACTTGTCTTAAGTAAAGAATGAGGAAACTACAGCCTATCCAGACTCAAATCACTAAATAATTGCTAATTTCTGGTATGATAAGACAATGATTATAGCTTTAAGCGAATTCTTATCATTCAGACATCCATTCTAAAAATGCTAGGGATGAAGCATGGCACCTGAGATTTGTTTGCAAAGGCTGCCAGAGGACATATCTGAAATGAGGGTGGCCATGAGTGCTGGAACTGAGCTATGGTGCTGAAGAGGAGGCAGCTGCCTCTGCCCTTTTCAGAACACTTTAAATTTTCCACAAGTTAAAAAAAAAACCAGTAAAAATCACAATCACATGATTCTTTTCAGGCTCTTCTCACTTAGGAAAAATGCAAGTGTATTCTCTGAAAACAAGACATCTGTAAACTCATGACACACTCATTCGTAACAGCCAGTCACATGGCTAAGCCACAAGGAGGTGGCTGACAGAAGAAAACAATAAGCTACCCAGGCTGTAAACAAAGCAGACACCACTGAAAGAGAGGACAGGCTCAGTAGGGACACAGCGATCCCTCTATAACCCAAGCACTAAATGTCCTCACATGGGGGGGGGAGAGTAAGGGTGACTTTGAAAACGGAACCATGGGAGAGGGTGAGCTTAGATTTGTGGGGAAGAGTAAATCCCGGGATGCAGGACTGAGACACTGGACGCCGCCCTGGCGCCTCACTTCAGGATGGAGGCTCAACTTCACAGACATCAAGACCCTCTCATTACCTTCACTTTAAGATGGGGTTGGGAATTCATGTAATTAAATAGTTGCTCGTAATTCCTGTACTGCAGATCCCACTCTGTGTATTCACTGAACCGGAAATCGTCTCCTAGAGGAGCCAGGAGAACTTTAGTACGGAAGAGTTTGGACTTCTTCCGGTACTGATCCAACAGCATTTGAGCCCTGTGAAAGAAAAGGGGGAAATCTGAAAAGTTTTATCATGAAAGAGCAGACACTATAGCTCAGTAAAAAGGCAATCTGGGATTTCAAAAGTGTATTATATGAAAAAATACTATTGATTCAAAAATTAAAGTGAGATTTATAAGACAGACGTTCCCCATCGCATATTGTCTATTTCAAATGGTCATAAATTCTTATTGTAGGGAAAACACACAGTTTTCCAACAGACGTTCCTTTGAGGACCCACAGTGAAGTGAGACACTAATGTCGTCCTGGAATCAACCCCTTCCCAGCCACAGCATTAGACTCCAGACAGCCCACACTTTAGAGTAATCTCGTATGGGAAGACATAAGGCTTCCCAACTGTATATCACACTGACCTTGGCTCTACTTTAATATTCTACTTTCTAACTTAATACAAAAAAACCTCAAATAGTCAGGTAAAACATAGAAGAAAGCAAACTTTGGAAGGCATTAAATGGTATTAAATCATAACCCATAGTATTTTATAGAATTTTATGTTTTCTTCTCCAGAGGAACACCAGCTCACTGCACACCTGCCATTAACAGGCCCATCTCTGTCACACTGCCCTTACGATCAACCGCTCACGTATGGGAGCCGAATTCACTCTTCTGGTTGCTCCATCGTGGGCTTTGAACCATGACCCCCAAAGCCAGCCAAACATAATGTGCTGATGCCAGCAACTTTCACACCTCAGACTAAGTATTCTGGAGGCGCACCTTTGGGGATGCCGAGTCGGAGCAGCGTTGAGAAAACAGGAGATAGGCCCATGAAATTAAACAAGCAGATGACCCCGTCTTCAGTGTAGAGAAAGTCAAAGCTTAGGAAACTGGTGTTTAAACGACAAGGATGGGTTTTTGCCTAGTATTTCAATTTTCACTTCAAAGATTATCCAAACATAGATTACAATTCCCAATATAAAACTCACGAAAGTACCTCAGAGGACACCAATAAGCAGTATTTTATATAAGTAACATTCAATTCAACTTAGAATCCCATATGGAGTTTCTGAAATTTATAGTATCTGAAACTATGTTGCAAATAAAATTTTAGCAATAATTTAGTAGCTTGATAAGAAGAATATAACCATAGTGATCACATATAATATATAATTCTTAGTTTTCTGAGATTAGCATTTGGTTAGATATTTAATCTTTATTACCGAGTGTGTAACATTTCATTTCATATTTCCTAAAAAATACTTTTGGTTATTACTTATAAATTCAAATACACACGAACCACATATAAACAGATTAACCACATATGAACAGAATTTCCTCCCCAGAAAAGGAATAAAAAGAAACACACAACTACATTCCTGAGGCAGCCATAATCTATAAACAAAAAAAAAGAGGTTGACTAATAGATGAAGTAAAGCTTAGATATATGTGGCTTATAACAAAAAGAAAAGACAGTACAAACCCTGCCATGCCATTTCCTCTGACATCCTCCCTAACCTGTGAGCCCAGGTGAGAAAAACCAGCTGCTGCTTTATCCCTTACAGCGTGTGGCGGACACTTGAGATGACAGATGGATGAACAGCTCCCTCGCCAGCACCACGTCTGAAGGCCTGTAGCTACTACCTGCTCCTGACTTCTTCCGTGCTAACAACTGTCAACTAAATCCATAACTCTAAGATTAGTTGATATTCAGGGAAAATGGGCAATTTCAAAATACAATGGCAGGTCAAAAATTAAAATGGTGGATGCTATTTGCTCTTTTGAAATTAGAGGAAGCCAATGAGCCGAAACTATCAAAGGATGACCCCTGTCTATTACAATTAAATCTAATTTTCCTTAGCTCCTGAACAGGGAAACAGCATCACTAAGATGGCTGGAAACTCTGTATTTGATTTCTTCTTATGACCAAGTTTTAAAAAAAAATAAGATGATATGAGAATATTAAGTTGCCAGAAGAGTTCACATTTCAAAAAATTTCTAAAACTCTACACAAGTATAATACAGGTCATTCTCCCACATCCCCTGAGATGCCTGGAAGCAACTTGAGAATCACTGGAATTCAGTAGTATGTGTATTTTTGAGGGACAATCTGTGAAAGGTTAAATGACATAGCAATACAACTACACAAAATGCTTTTGTTCCTCGTAACACACCTCCTGCAACAGGCACCTTCATCAGCACCAAAAGACCAAAGGGGCCTCCCCACCTGAACGTCTGGCTAACCTGAGGCGCTGCAGACAGCTGTACGTGCAGCTGCCTGCTAAGTGGACAGGCAGCGTCGCTCACGGCCAGCCTTCTCTTTCCACCACAGCACATGCTAATTCTCAAATGCCTGACCAACCTCTCCTGGACCCGGTCAGTAATACAACCGCAGTGGGGTGAGAATCTGACAAAACCCAACTTCACCGGCTCAAGAAGGCTGCCACAGGTCTGTCACAATGAGGGGCATAACTCTGTTACGACAAGGACTCCATCAAGGTAAAGGGCAGGTATCACTTTCTTCCTCCCAAATATTTTAAAAATATTTTTTCCATTTTTGAAATTAAAATGTAATTATATAATTTCCCCTTCTTTTGACCCCCCTCCAGCCTTTTCCATGTAACCCCCACCTCCACTCTCTCTTAAATTCATGGCTTCTATTTCTGTAATTGTTGATCTGCGTGTGTATGAATGATCTGTGTGTGTATGTGTGTGTATGAACGATCTGTGTGTGTATGTGTATGAATGATCTGTGTGTGTATGTGTATAAATGATCTGTGTGTATGTGTATGAATTATCTGTGTGTGTATGTGTGTATGAATGATCTGTGTGTGTGTATGTGTGTCTATGAATGATCTGTGTGTGTATTCAGCCTAAATTTATAAGAAAACCTTTAAGTGCCACTTTACTAAACTACACATTTTAAAATAATTTTTAAATGCACAGATATGATACCACATAAATCCCAATTTATTTATGAGATTAACCACATATAAACAGAACTTTCTTCTTGTCCGTGTACTACCATATCAATTCATCTAAAAAAGTTATTCAGCCATCCCCAAATAGCCTCCCCTTGCTTTCTCTCAAATTCATAACCTCTATTTCTGATACATATATATGTACCTATATACATAAGACATATATACACATGATGAATTAATATATTACACACCTCTCACTTTAAGTGTAGGAATTTAACTTTATAAGAACCAAAGTGAGAAACTGTAGGTAACTTGAAATGAGAAGTTTCCTTCACAGGTGAACTTTGTCTGAAGAAGTGGCCCATCCTTGTGACATTTATTCATATGTATTTAAATATAAACAATTCTAATTAAAGTCCTCTATAAATCAAAAACATCAGAAAGATGCAAAGTTGCATTCGCCCGAGCCGTGCATAGTCACCATTATTGAAATTGTTATTAAGTAAGAGATAATTATACTCTTCATGTGCTCCATTTCAATAAATGTGTTTTTGAGGTCGAGTTGCTTTTCTTACCCATTTGTACAATGGGAACCAAAAGTCTCATTATCAACAGAAGTGTATGAAATCAATCAAACACAGTAGAAGGCTTTTATAGTGAGTATAAGGAGATGGTAATGACAGCATATTATAGGTTAGCACTGCATATTGATCCACCATTGCTCACTTGCCACCGCACTCTAACACCAAAAGGTATGGTCGCGGTGTTGGCACTTTGAAGTTGCATGGGATCTGGTTTGATTGAGTAACTCTGAGGATAATGCTGGCTGTCAACACCCACTTGCTTGACCCTTCAACAACTCAGAGTAGCCACGGTGTTCTTGATGTCTTACAAAACGCATAATTAATACCTGCTTTGGACATTTCCAGGAGATATTGCTTCTGGCGGCACTCCCCAGGGACAGCCGTATCTGCCTCCAGGAAGCCGTTTAAAGTCGAACTGGCAGCATATTTTGGGGTCGGGTCCACAGGTGTGCGGGATGTCATAGCTGTAGAAGGGCATCATGTGACACAACACGTCCGTGACAGATCCCAGGTCTGCAATAACAAGTCAACACGCTTCTGTCCACAAGACTGCTTCTCCCCAGAGCTACCCAAATGCCATTACTTCATGCAAATCTAGGTGACGCCGCAAGCTGTGCCCTACATCGGCAGCCACTCTCATACCCCAGAAGCATTTCACAGCCACAGCCGAAGGAAGATCTGTAGCTCACCCTCATTCACCTCTTCTGCCTAGCAGAACAGAAATGGAAAAGTCCCTGACGAACCAGCAATTGCTGACCTGGAGGACACCACCTGAGCAAAAGTAAAAGTTACAGCTGGCTCATGCAAAATCATGACCTTTGTGCACCCCGGGCTGCCAGCCTCCGTAAATCTGTTCCTAGGGACACATGGTGACAGTTCCATCAGCCAGAGAGGCCAGGTGAGAAACTGAGTAAGAGGGGAGCTGAAGGAACAAAGAAGAAAGGATGGGCAGGGAGTAGGAAGCCCTGGACAAGGGCCAGTTCCCCCCAGCAGGAGAGAAAGTGGAACCCTGCAAAGTTCATGGAGTCTCCCCTGCTGCTCCCCAGGGTTCATGGAGTCTCCCCCGCTGCTCCCCAGGGCTCATGGAGTCTCTCCTGCTGCTCCCCAGGGCTCATGGAGTCTCTCCTGCTGCTCCCCAGGGCTCATGGAGTCTCTCCTGCTGCTCCCCAGGGTTCATGGAGTCTCCCCCACTGCTCCCCAGGGTTCATGGAGTCTCCCCCGCTGCTCCCCAGGGCTCATGGAGTCTCTCCTGCTGCTCCCCAGGGTTCATGGAGTCTCTCCTGCTGCACCCCAGGAGTGAGTCAGTGGCATTTTCCATCACAGAGGATGCACAGGAAAGGGGGAATTTCCAGTTCAAAAATCAAGGCAAACCAAAACGGTATGGAAACGAAGCACTCCCTACTGACAGAGAGTTGTGTTTTAGTTAGGAGCTCACTGTCATGGTGAGACTTCCACCTCAACAGTCAGAAGCCGACCTCGCAGGGGACTACGGTTTGTGAGATGACGCTACGCATTGACGGCCCCTGCTTTTCTGTATGTGTGCATTTCCAGTTTCTACAGTGGTGTTGCTTCTCTAATAAAGACAACGCGATCAACACGTATTTTTAACTGTGAGAATAACTGTTTCATTAAGAATAAAACACATACAAGCTCCACCTAATTTGAAAACATCTTTCTTGAGCCGCTACATTCTCAAGCCTATCAGAGAAGTCCTAACCACTTTTAACCTCTTCTTTGGCAAAATTTTAAACTATTCAAAGACCTGTGTTTCTGTCCTATACACTGCAAGTGTCAATGACCCCCAAGTGTGACACCAAGGACAATGGCCACAAATGCTTGATGCAGGCATGCAGCCGGCCACGAGTCCCAGAAGAGGGAGTGTTAACTCCAACTCTGTTCTTCTGACCAAGACATGGACCCAGCACCTTTCCTACCCACCGCCATGCGACAGCTTATTTTACATAGCTCAGTCTCCTGCATCTGGCTGTGTCTATACTGTACTAAATCAAAATATAACTGTCTTATACACAGGATATTTTCTATATTCTGTCCTAACTGTGGAAAACACATAAAACTACTCAATAACTTCTCGCCAACTGATAATTCTAAGCAACTTGAAACATGCCAATCATTTAAGCAAAGCTTCTTCAAATTACTCCTCATTAAGGAAGCTTCACTTTGTAACAGACAAGAGATTAGTACAGAAAACCACAACCAATCAAAATGAAGAGTTGTGGGGCCCTGTCCCTTTGGATACAGCTACAAAACACTCCTGCACTAGGCCTCAGGGACACTGTGGAAGAAGGGGTAAAAAGACTCTGAGGGCCAGAAGAGCAGAGAGTTTGCCATGAGACTGTGCCGACCGATGAAACAAAGTCTAAGCCCCGACTGCCCAAACGAGATCTGAACATGGAGGACACCAGTGGGCATGGGAAAAGGCTAAGGGCCTCAAAACCCTACACAAAGAGCTACACACAACTGTGGAATGCTGAGAGAGGGAGGAATCATCTTTCCGAGGAAGAGCGTACAAACCGATGATTCAATACCAAATGGTCACCCCTGAAAACATGCATACATGTAACGTTGTACAGATAGTGCAGGTGATATTTTAAAAATATACATATATTAATATGTGTATGCAATAACAATTAATGAAAAGAGGACATTAACTTGAAAGAGAGCAAGCAGGGTAAATGGAAGAGTCTGGAAGGAGGCGGGGGAAGGGAGAAATGCTTCAATATACTATAATCTCAAAAACTAAAACCCAGTCTCCTCCAGAGAAAATTGGGTAAAATTTGCCTCAATTTGTCTTCATACAAGAAGGACGCAGACTCCTTGGGAGGATAGGTTCAAGGTCAATTCGAGGGAATTCTTGTAAGACACAGAGACAAGAGAGAAGGACGGAAGACTAGCTGGGTATGAGACCTGCAACTGTACAAGTTCTAAGGCATGCTCAACCTCCTGAGAAAACAGAGCTTTTCCACTACACCAGAGAGGAATCAGAAGCTGTAGCAATACTAAAGCTGTACCTATTTGCTTCTGTCGGTCATAAAAATAACTTTACAGTTTTCCAGACATGAACTGACATCAATGTTTATAATAATCTTGACACAATACAATGGAAAATAACTGCCCTATAACAAAAACTATCTTTAATCAGTGTGATGTTCAAGGCCTACACTAAAGCTAATACCCACTGTGGAATGGTGATTTCAATGAGAATGGTCTCACAGGCTCATGCATTTGAATACGTGGTCCCAGCTGAAACTTTTTGGCAAGGATGAGGGGGTGTGGCATCACAGCAGGGGTGTGGCGTTACTGCAGGGGTGTGGTGTTACTGCAGGGGTGTGGCGTTACTGCAGGAGGTGTGGCGTCACTGCAGGAGATGTGGTGTCACTGCAGGGGTGTGGCATTACTGGAGGAGGTATGGCATCACTGCAGGAGGTGTGGCAACACTGCAGGGGTGTGCCATCACTTCAGAGGTGTGGCGTTACTGCAGGGGTATGGCATCACTGCAGGAGGTGCAGTGTTGTTGGAGGTTTGCCAATGCCATTCCAGTTGGCTCACTGTTTTGTGTTTATGTCTCAAGATGTAGGTTCCCAGCTAGTGCTCCAGGACCATGTCAGCCTGCCCGATGCCATGCCCCCCACCACGCACTACCCCCACCCCCTCATCCCCCACCCCATCATCTTCATGGATTCTAACCCTCTGGAACCATGAGCCCCAACAAACATTTTCTTTTATGAGCTGCCTTGGTCTTGGTGTCTCTTTATAGCAATATGAAAGTAACTAAGACACCCACACTGGTGTAAGTCCAGAACCCCTGTGAGAGTACAGCTCCCTCAAGTGGAATCATCGGCTTTCATCAGATACGACACACCCCAAAATGCTATGTACCCCAATTCTGTCTCCAAAAATTCTACATACCCCAATTCTGCCTCCAAAAGAACTCCAGAGATTTTTGCAGTGAGAAGTGTTTTTTCACTGCATAATGGACTCTCTGGATGAGCATGTGTGAAAACCCAGCGAGTTTCAGAAGATAAGCCATTGTGGGTGAATGTCCAAAAGGATCTATGGCCCAACCTGATCGAGGTTTCACTCCTGTTGACGAAGAAAAGAAGTGTTAGTTTTCTTTTGTTTTAATGGTAAGTGGAATAAAAAGAAGTTAACGGCACATTGAGACACATCAGAATTCCAGTCTCCTGGGCTTGAAGATAAAGGGAACACTCATTACCCCACCTCACAGCTATGACTAAGTGACTGCCAACCACTGGAGGTAGACCAGTAAGTACTCAGTCTGCCGTTTGGGGCTAGAAAAGCCAGGAACGGGCTGATCTGTCAGTTCAAGTGATACTTCCAAATCTCAACAGTCAGCCACTAACACCTTCAACCAGCCCAACATCATCATATCACACAGAGGCAGAATGATTGAAATAACTGTCCCGATGGTCCACTGAGCCTTCATGCACTCTGATGCTCTTCCTTTCTCTGCCTACATTGAGGTCAATGGATACTCCACTCGAGACTCAGAGCAGGTATAAGAGGCATCAGCTAAAACGTGTCTCTGTTTCACAGAGGATAAATGTGACAAAAATAAATAAATGCACAGGTTAGAGTTAATGAGACAAGAATATTCATTTAGCATTATACAAATCTGATCATTCGGCTAGTCAAGACTCTCCAAGAAGTCTATTTACAGTGTAAAACTTAGCATAACTAATAGAGCTGTGCAAAGGTTTTTCCTTTTTTTTTTCAAGCATCTGTTTGGCATTCACACACATTTACAATTATAAGGGGCCCGAGGGCTACACGAATGAGTTGAGGCTGATCCTGGCTTGAGTAGCAAAGTTATCATTCAAATAGCTACGACCCACAGTACCTCACGAGACAGGAGAAAAAGGAACCTTACTGAGTAATTCTAAAGTACACAAGAAGCAGCAAAGGAGACTGAGAAGGAAAAGTAAACTCATACAAGACACAAGTAAGTCAAAATACACACACACACACACACACACACACACACACACACACACACACACCGTTGGTGAGGAGTAGGATGGTTATTATTCTTGGTGTGTCTCCTATAAATTTATTATATTTCACTTTTAATTGTGCTGGCTAGCTTTATGTCAGCTTGACACAAGCTGTAGTCATGTGAGGAGGAAACCTCATCGGAGAAAATGCCTCCATAAGATTGGGCTGCAGGGAGACCGTAGGACATTTTCTTAATTAGTGATTGATGACGGAGGGCCTAGCCCATTGTGAGTGGACCCCTGGGCTGCTGGTCCTGGGTTCTGTAAGAAAGCTGGCTGAACAACAAACCAGTGAGCAGCACCCCTCCATAGCCTCTGCATCAGGTCCTGCCTCCAAGTTCCTCCCTGTTTGAGTTCCTGTCCTGACTTCCTTCATAATGACTAGTGATATGGAAGTGTAAGCTTAGTTAATAAACCCTTTTCTCCCCAAGTTGCTTTTGGTCATGTTGTTTCATCATGGCAATAGTAAACCTAAGATATTAATTATTCACATATCTAGGGAGCGTATGTGGACATATGTGTGGGTACCAGTGGAGTCCAGAAGAACATGTTAGGTCCCCTGGAGCTGGGACTACAGGTGGTGGTAAGCTATCCAGCGTGGTTCTGTGACCCATCTGGGGCCTCTGGAAGGGCAGTCACTGCTCTTAACTGTCCCCACCTACAAACTATTAATTAGAAAGAAAAAACTTGAATAAAGAAGTTTAGCAGATACCTTAAACTGATCAAGGTTAGCATTGTCAACAATGATACAGGGAGATATCGCGTGCCTCTCATAAGATGTAGGGGGTAGCAGAATCGTCAGATTACTAGCCAGAGTATAAATTACAGCAATCACTCAACCCAAACCCCAAGAAACAAATTCAGACTGACAGACGTTTCCCCAAACTGCCTTGTACTCTTCAAAATACTGCGGTCAAGAAACCAAGAAAAGCTGAGGAAATGCAAGATTAAAGAAAACTAAGAGATGTGACAACTGAACATAACCCATGACCCTTGACTCCGCGTGAGGGACAGTTGCTATATACAGGGTGATGGGGTAGCTGAGACGTTCTGGATGCAGTCCAAGAATTGGATTGTCCTGTTGCATCACTACTAATACTTCTGGTTTGACAACTATCTTCTAATTACAAAAGGAAGTGTCCTGATTTCTGAGCAAATACACCATCAACTCTCTAGAGATAGACAAAAGCGTCTTTGACTTACCATCATGTGGTTCATCAAAACACACACACACACACACACACGCGCGCGCGCGCGTGCGCACACACACACGAACCTATGTTCACAATATATGGCAGTCCTTCCCAAGTAATGCCCTAGTTTATTTTGTGAGTTTGAAACATAAGGAGCAAGTATCATCACAAATAAAGGGAAAGGTAAGATGATAAGTAAGTAGGCTGTCAAATCTCAGAGAAGTCAGCATCCGTCAATACAGAACTCCAGCACCATTGGTGATTTTTTTTCCCCTAAGGAAATCACTGCAACCACAGAACAACTACCTGCAATGGAAAAGGGAACCCAGAATATAAAAAGAATGAAAAGAAGATGCAAACTGCATTAAAAAAAAATCTTTCTATAAAAGGTAGTAAGGGCTGAATTCCAGAACCTGACAGGATTTTCCTTGGCATTAGAAAAATAATTTCTTTTTTTAAGGGTAAGAGGCAGGTTCAGGAGTATATAAAAACCCAAACCTTTATAATAAAAATGATTAGGAAATTCAGATTATTATAGAAGTATATGTCACAGACAGTTACAAATCATGTTTCTTCTTCATTCTGCTGGTGTTACTGTCTTACTTTTCAACACAGAATACCAACTATTTATATAAGTATTGTTTATTACAGAGATTATTACATATAATTATTACTTTATATTATAAATAATTAAAAGGTTGAATTTCTCATAAAGCAATTTTAATTAACATTTTAGATAGAAATATTTTAGATGTGGTCAAGACCAGGCTGGTGAAACTCACGGAAACAGTTGACCTGAACAAGGGGGAGCTCATGGACCCCAGACTGATAGCTGGGAAACCAACATAACACTGTTCCAGACCCCCTGAACGAGGATGACAGTTAGGAGGTCTGGACAATCTATGGGGCCTCTGGTAGTCAATCAGTATTTATTCCTTGGTACATGAATGGACTCTTGGAGCCCATTTCACATAGAGGGATGCTCTCTCAGTCTAGACACATGGGAGAGGGCCTAGGCCCTGCTCCAAATGATATGACAGACTCTGAAGATCCCCTGTGGAAGACCTCACCCTCCCTAGGGAGCAGAAAGGGAATGGGATAAGGGGTCTGTGGGGGGCAGGGGAGGAGGGAAGGGAGAGGGAACTGGGATTGACGTGTAAAACAAGCTTGATTCTAATTTAAATTAAAAAATGGAAAAAATACGTTATAAAAAAGAAATACTTTAGATGGAAATTTTCTAGCATTATTAAAAAAACCTAACTCCAACAGAAAGCCCTGCAGGAATAAACTATTGCTGTAAAGTTTTCAAATGCCCATAAAAGTTTTGGAACATATAAAGGGTGGGATGCTGACTAGTTATTACATTAAATATCATAAACCAATAAATAATTCACACAAATGTAGCACATTAAGAGAGAAATCTAATCTCACTTATGAAAACAAATATAAAAATCATAAAACAAAAAATCACTACACAGATTGAACTCCACAGCACCCAAGCCGGAAGGGACTCACTTTGAAGTCAATGACTTTTTAATTGAGTAAACTGCCATCACCCTCAGAACAAGTTAGAAGACCCACATAACCTTAATAGATATCTGAAAGAAATGCAGTACGTACTGTAAATTGAAAAGTACTAAAGAGAATTTCCTCAGCGCTATTAAAAAATCTACATATTTAGTATCTTTAAGCAACTTCATTGAATATATGAAATAACAAAGGCAAGTGTCACTATTATCATGTGACTGTTAACATGTGACTATTAACATGTGACTACTACAGAAGGTTTGAATAAAGCAAACAGATATATTGATTTAAATACTAACTATATTAGACAGATAATTTTCATTTTTAAGGTAGGACATATTTACTATATGTGATAAATTACAGAAAATGTTAGCAGTAATAAAAAGAGAAAGTGAATTCATCACAGACATACACATCAAAAGTTGTCTTAAATACTAGTATTAAGCAGTTAAAAGAAACAAGAAAGGTGCTGTCATGACTAGTGTTCATTGTAGACTTGGCACATTCTAAAGCGCCTGGGTGATAGGCCTTGCTGTATCTGTGCGGGACTGTCTCAACCGTGTTAACTGACGGCAATGGCGAAGGCACCTCTTTGTTGCAGTTAGGACCTGGGCTATGCGTGTGGACAATGTAGGTCGAACACAAGTTGGCACTTGCTGCTCTCTTCTGACTGTGGATTCAAAGGGAACAACTGCTTCAACCCTGACTCCTCAACTTCCCCATCGTGACGGACTGCAACACGGGACCATGAGCTAAAATTAATCCTTTCTCCCATGAGTTGCCCTGTCAGAATATTTTATCACAGCAACAGAAGGAGAAACTAAAACGGGAGTCACTAAAAGTAAAAGAACACAGGCTGGCAAGATGGCTCAGTGGGTAAAGCATTCACTGTGCCAGCCTGAAGACCCGAGTCCAACCAGAACTCATGGTGGGTGAGAGCATAGTCCTGAAAGTTGTCTTCTGACTACCACACACACTATGGTGCACACACATCTGCACACACCCACACCACACACACATACACACACATCTCTCTCTCACACACACACACCCCATCTCTCTCTTTCTCACACACACACACCACATCTCTCTCTCACACACACACACACCACATCTCTCTCTCACATACACACACACCCCATCTCTCTCTTTCTCACACACACACACCACATCTCTCTCTCACACACACACACACCACATCTCTCTCTCACATACACACACCCCCCATCTCTCTCTCTCTCTCTCTCTCTCACACACACACACACACACACACACACACACACACACAGGGGAGGGGGTGGACGTACATAGATAGATAGAGAGGTAGTAACAAAATCTTAAAACAACAAATGAACAATTACAAAACGGCAGAAAAAAATGTCATACTCGTGTGTGTGTGTGTGTGTGTGTGTGTGTGTGTGTGTGATGGCTCAGATTCTAAGCAAAGAACACACAAAGGTGACAACCCAATTAAAAAGAGACTCAAAAAATTCAAAATAAGCAAATGATGGGCAGTAAACACAAAAATGTGCTCAACATCCTTGGCTGTGAAATAAATGCAAGTTGAAACAGAAAAATCATTTTATCTCTACTGGAATTGTTAAATTGCTACTTGAAAAGACTAGCATTAGAAATGTTGGCAAAAACATGGAACAAATTCATTTCTGGTTGAGAGTACAATAGTAAAAGCACTTTGAAGAGCTTTGCTGTACCTATGAAGTTAAACACAATGTATCTAGCGATTCTATTCCCTGTGTTTATCAATGATAATGACATGTGCTTTACAAACAACTGGAACATAAGTGTATGTGAAAGCCTGTGTCATTCAGCCAGCCCCCTAAAAGCACACTACAGACATTCAACAGGGGTCTGGTTTAGAAACCAGACCCTATTCAGCCATGAGAAGGAGTGAGTTGACAATACATGCAAGAACCAAACACAAAAACCAGTCACTACGGTTCTTTACTGTAGTGGAAGGATATGCAACAGCTATACAAAAATCAACACACTGGGTTATATACACTACCCATAACTACTCTCAAATGAGACGAGGAAAATAAATCCCATCTACAATGGCAGATAACAATGTAAAACAGCTAGAACCAAATTCAACAAAGAAACAAAAGATAAAAGCTATGAAAACATTACAGAGGGAAATTAAAGATTTACATGCACAGAAACATAGCTCCTGTTCGTGTAACTGGATTTGGTGTGGTTAATGGCAATGTTTCTAGTTTGGCCAACATATTCCACACATTCCCACCAAAGTCATAACTTATATTTATTTACTTCTATTCTATGTATGAGTGTTTTACCTACCTATAAAGTATGTGCACAAGTTGCATGAAGTGCCCAAGGAGGCCAGAAGAGAGCAACAGATGCCCTGGAACCAGAGTTACAAGCAGTTGTGAATCAACAGTTTGGCCCGGACTTTACCATGTAAACCAAGATGATTTCAAACTCCCGATTCCTCTGCCTCCAACTCCTGCATGCTGGGACTACAGAGGTACACCACCATGGCCAGTTTATACGATGCTAGAACTTGAGTCCGATGCCTTGTGCATGCTAAGTACTCTACCTACTGAGCCATGTCCCCAAGCACAGTCAGTAGTTCTACAAATATTAAGTGATCTAACATTCATGGAAAAACACACACACATGAGTAAGACAAGTTTTTTCTTTAAGTTGGGATGATCAGGATCCTGAATACATAATAAAGATAACATGGAAACTGGCATGAGGGTAGACACTGTCAGCCAGAATGCCAGAACAATTCAACAGGGCTGTTAGGACAAAGGGGCATCACCGCACAAAACAACGAATGTGGAATTCTACCCACATCACATATACAGGCTAACTGAAAGAGGATCACAGACACAAAACCTAACCCCAAAAATTATCAGTAAGAAAACTAAGCCAAGGCCTTGGTTTAGACAATGTCTTCTTACTATGTCATCAAAACCACAAGTGACAAAGGGCCAGGAAATCAGACATAATTGGGCAGAAAACTGACCCTGACCAGAATATGCAGACTTTTCTTGGCCTAAGCATTATTTATATAGCACTGCATTTTTTGTAATATAATAGAGACTGATTTAAAGTATGTGGGAACAAGTAAGTGTAGTTGTTTTATGTATATACTACATTATTTTATTGAAGGCACCTTGTATTTTGATATCTGTGGGGAATTCTAGAACCAATCCCCAGAGCTTATACTCAAAAAGGTTAGTGGGAGTCTAGGACAGAGGCAGGGAAGTTACAAGAAAGGTGGCCACTAATGGATATGAGGTTTGCTGTTTAGATGAACATGTATAAGTGTCAAGTCTGTGAGCATGACACACCACCAAATTGCAGATTTTAAACAAGTGCACCTCATTATATGTAAACCTGTCTGAATCAAGTTCTAAGACAAAATTATACTGGACATAGAAACTAGATACAAAGGAGTATGCTGTGAATCCATAAGTGAGCTCTTCAAAAGACAAAATGCACCTGTAGAAACAGGAAGGAGAGAGATGAGGGGACAAGAGAGCACCCTCAAGTGACGTATGAAATGAGTAGTATGTGTATCTGTCAAAACTCACCAAACTCTACGTTTGAGATTATACACTGTAAGTCACATTTCAACAAAAGCTGAACATTAAAATCCACAAGTGAGGTGTGGTGGCTTGATACTATTAGGAGGTGTGGCCATGTTGGAATGGATGTGGCTTTGTTGGAGAAAGTGTGTCACTGGAGGCGGGCTTTGAAGTCTCAGATATGCTCAAGCCACACCCAGTGTCTCAGTTCACTCCCTGTAGCCTGCAAGTCAAGATGTAGGACTCTTGGCTACTTCTCCAGCACCATGTCTGCCCGCACACAGCCATACTCCCCGCCATGACGTGAAAATGTAAGCCACCCCAATTAAATGCTTTCCTTTGTTCATGGTGTTTTTTCACAGCAGTAGAAACCGTGACTAGGACATGAGGTTTCTATTCAGTGACTCTCTTGGCTTATGACCTATCTCAGTATTTAAGGAAAGGGGACATCGTTCATAGGTCTGTAAGCTTCCCCTCATCCCCACACAATCACCCAGGTGTGCTGACTTGTTAAAATCTGACTCTCAGAAGAGTGTCACATAGCCTTGATTTAGGACAGAGAGAGAAAGGACAGAATAAAAGCATCAGAAATAAAGGTACATGGAACCAAGTCCAGAGGAGGAAACCTGGTATGCTCCAAAGAGTCTGCCCTGAATACACATAGTTCTAGCACCAAATTCTAAGAGCACGTGTGACATGCCATCCACTGAGAAACTCATCGAACATTCAGTGCCCAGGATTCCCACTGGGAGCTGCTCACACAAGCAAGCACGCACACACACATACACACACACACACACACACACACACACACACACACACAAAGGTGTCAGGTTCCTGAAGGAAGCAAATGAAAAGACACAATATACTTTAAAAGGCAACAGGTCATTCTCATTTAAAAACTGTTACTGTGCCCAGTAACAGCCAAGGGCAGACACACAAGCTAGGCCTCTGAGGTTAGAATCTCAACCCAGCTAGAACAAAGCCTTTCTCACAGATAAAAGTATTGGCAATGTATTCTCCAAGCTTTGAAAAACAATTACCACCACAACAGTGGTATAGGAAGAGAAAAAAGTTAAAAAAGTGTTAGTAACTGGTATATGTGGAAGCTTTCAAGGAGTTCTTTGCAGTAGATTTAAGACCTTGTAAGAATAAAAGGAAAGAAATCATTATAATGTGAGCTTTTTTATCCCTAACAGAGAAAAAATAAATAATAAATTATCTAGAAATAACTTCAATAAAAATCACGAATGCTTATCATAAAGAAAAGGTAAAAGGCATACTAAGATACAAAATATTTGCAAAGAGCTTCATGCCATGTTACAAAATGCACATATCAGGCAGAAGAAGGTATCAATTTATTCTAGGTTTTAGTGAGTTGTAGAGAATGCTGTCAGCCCAACAGCCTCCTCCTGCAGATGAACCTTCCCCATGGGTCCAGCCAAACAAAGGACCTACTATCACAGTTTAGGTGTACACCTACAATTCCATCTCCCTGGAGACCACGGCCATTGAAACAAGTCCTGTCTGTACTTCAGTGATAGGCACGTGACTCATTAAATCAATGCAATAAAATATTAAGAACACCTTTTCGTATTTGATGAACTGGGTGGTAGGGGAGTATTTCTGCTACCTAGGACCATCTTGCACAGTGCTTAGAAAACCCAGAGTAAAGACAAATCACAAACAAGATGTGCCCGAGGAAACTCTCTGGACAGTGTATGTTACATGTGCTGGATGGAGCCATGCTTGGAGCTACTGTAACACCTCTATCTCCAGAATTCTCCGTGATACAATAAATGTCTTTACTTTTCCTTTTCCAGCACCCTCATTCTGGATCAATCTAATACGGTTTTGCCTCCTGTGATCACGACTTAACTAACATGTAATTAAAATAGTAAACTTCCAAACAAATGAAACAAGCCAATAAATAATAAGATATAAAGAAATATCAATGGCTATAAATGGAATTATTATATGCCTATATAATTAAGATAATAACCTAATAAATACAATTAATGAAGAATAAATTATTCAACAATTACTAGGACTGTTAGCCCAGATTCCCTAAGTGCATATTCCTAAAACAGCCTAAATGAAGAAGAAAAAAAAACAAAACAAGAATACATACCTAGATTTTTTTCCAGCCATTGATGCCCTTCAATTAGTTGGTCAATTAAGGCAAAATAATGTGCAGTGGCTTCATCGGGCATAACCCAGCCACCTGTCACAATCTCGAGCTGACCACTCTGCAGTAAACTAGGGAGAAAACAATAGAGTTAAGGTAACAACAGTAACAAAGTTCCAAGAAGAAACAGAAAAACATCAACATTTAAGATCAGTCTTTACAAGTGGCCTGTACCTAAGGGGGGGGGCATTTCTTTTCAAACAAGTCACTGAGCTTCAACTCCAGCCCCCAGGGATGAAGCACCCATGGAAAGGATCTTGGGTGACTCTTGTTTTCCCAGGACACGTTTTCCATGAAGGTAGAATAGCAAAAGTCCTCATGTCGGGAGTTCCAGGGCTGATTTCTGAATCTCACAGAGCACTCAACAAGTGCTCTGCTCAGGCAATGTGCCTGGTGATTCCTGGAGGACTCTCATGTCAAGGATGGCCTCTGCTTCGATGGACCAGTATCAAAAAGGGGCATTTGCCTGTTCGCAGGACACTGTCGGGTAAATTAAGCACACTGCTCGGTAAATGCAGTAATGAAGCTTCAGTTTTAGTAAAATGTGGGCAGCACTGCCTTTCTTAAGGACTGTTGAAAGCTATGCCACTACTGTTGTCGGTGGAGAATTCCTTCACAGTAAAACCGTGCAAAACAGTGATCACCAATTGTTGATCATTGACAACTCTTTTTTCTTTTGTTTCTCCAATGTCACAGACTGTCCGTTCAGAGCCAGGAAGCTTTTATAAGTGTTCATCAAGACATGACCAAAAAAGAAAGAAAGGGAAAAAGCTGGAATTTCTAAAAGCTGAGTTTATTTAAGAACACAATTAAGGCCAAGACTACTGTACCTCTCCCATCTTATGGACAATGGCCTTTCATTTAGTCAATTCTTTTGCTCTGACCCGTATGTCTAGCTTTGCCAACTCCAGAGGCTGTGTGAATTTGACCTTTGGACCTCAAAATCAGAGGTCAGTAACCTGAGATGTAAGTACGGGCTGGAACTTAATCCCTGATAATTAAATGTGGGCATATTTTCAATTTCATTATTTCACTCTCCTAATAAACACATATTTTGAACATTTCCAGATATGCTTGCTTAAAATAAAATTATTTGATGGACTTGACTAGACAGAAACTTCAAGTTAGTAAGAACTAAAATGAAATGAAGGAAAATAATTATTCCAAAGATGGAACTTTCCTTTTTAATTTATATCAGTTTGTTTTGCTAGAAACTCCTATCCTATAGGCCTGAATGTTCTCCAGGAACAGTCACCCAAGGACAGCATTATACGTTATACACAACAGGGAGATTCTACAGCTGCATTTGTTAGTGAGAAGTCCCCTTCCTCGGGAGCCTCGGGTGCTACTTGAAGGTATTCTGAGTTCTTATCTGTACACAGTGACTACTATAAAGACAGCCTCTTTTTTACAAAAACATTATCAGGCAATTTCACACTGCTCCTCCCCATCAGCCTGGATGATTACAGGTACCTTGGTGTCTCAACTGAAGTATAACTTACCCAGAAGTGTCCAAGAGTCCCTGAGCAATTCAGCACTCCCCTCTACCTCCTCACAACACGACAACATAGCCTTTATCACTAACCAAAGTGGCCTGTTTATTCCTGTCTGCTGTCTGCCCCTCCCTCCCACCCAGCAACAGAACAAGCATCAAGAGAACCATCCTTCAGGGTGTCCAACACTGAGAACCCTGCCTTTGAGGAACAGTTAGTTCATGCATGACACTTAGGCACAGTCCATGAGACTTTCCGTTTAATATTAGTAACTAACAAGTAGTTTAAATTGGGATAAAGTCAATTATAATGGAGTTTCAATAATGTAGACATTATTGAAGAGGAGGAAATAAGGTTCATAAAAACGTATCTGTGAGAAATCAAGATACAGTTGGGACTGCTAGTGGGAGTGCCAACTGGTTCAGCCACTTTGGAAATCAGTATGGAGATTCCTCAGAAAAATGGGAATAAACCTACCACAAGACCCAGCAACTCCACTCTTAGGCATATATCCAAAAGATGCCCATTCATACAACAAAGATGTCTGTTCCACTATGTTCATAGCAGCTTTATTTGTAATAGCCAGAACTTGGAAGCAACCTAGATGCCCCTCACCCGAAGAGTGGAAACATTAATGTAATTTTTGAAAAGTTATATCTGATTTTTTTTACCAAAATAAATCTGGAGAATAAAAAAAAAAAAAGAAAACCAATTGGAGAGTCAAAGGTCAGGTGGGAAGATGAGTGGGAATGGGAGTGATGAGAAATGTTAAGAGAAATAAATCCATGAAAAAATATCTAGAAAAGCATCAAGAATCAAACCCTGCCCTTATAGTTCATAAAAAGTATTAAAGTCACTGTAACTATGACAGAATAGACAGAAAGTAGGTCAGACAATCAAGATGAGAAGTGTATTGCTCAAATACAGACATTAAAACAGGCATCAGAGTGATTGAAAGAGAAATCATATGAGAAAGCTAAGATCATGGCATGAAAACCCAGGGACTTCCTATGAGACAGTGTCTCGTGCATGCCTTTAAGTCAACCTGCATAAGTCGGCCAAAACCAGAACAAGAGCAGGCCAGAAGAAGAGCAGTTTTAGTGTATCTTAGCATAGTTTATCCAGACAAGAAAGAAAACAGTGTGAATCTTAAATCTGCAGCCGCGGCCGAAGTCCTACCACAGGGACGGGACTAATCAGGTTAGCGAGTTCACCTATTCTGCGGCAGCGTCTGTTTTCCAACTGTGTGAGGCTTTGAACCATCCACAAGAATAGGAAAAACCGGATTATAAAACCAAGTTTCTCAAGGTCAGGAAGGTTTGGCTAGACATAAATACTTCCTGACGTAGACAAAATAACCTGCCATGCAACATTTCACCGTTATCAACAAGAACAGAAGAAATACAACGAATCGATGAGTCTGAAAAAGTATCCCACTTAAAATCCCAATTGTTTGCAGTCACATAAAAGTTAACAAGACAGTGTAACTGTACTTTCTAATATAAAAAGAAAAATAACGGGAAATCCTATATCTACAGAAATGTTTACTTAGATAGCATGCATGTACTCAGAGCTCAGCAGCATCAAATGGAGCATTTCTGTAAAAAGCAGAGGGACAATCAAACATATGCTTGCCTGCCACGTGAACTCTACACTCATCCTACTGGAGGGCTCTCCGCTCTCTGGCAAACTTTCCGATATACATGTCATAGTCTTAACTAGTAAACATAGACCTTCATGCAAACGTAAGGGGAGGACACCTGCCTAGCAAATTCAAAAGCCCAGGAGCTAGCCCTAACTTTCCAAATCACCAAAGCCCACACTTGGGTTTTACAATGGTGGCTAGCTGCCTGGTAGAGGACATTAACCAGAGAGAGCTCTCGTTTCTACTTCAATGCTGGGGAATTCCATATAAGATGCTTTAAGGAAATTACTGATCAAAAATAAGCCGAGTGTGTCTGTCACTGCTCATTTTGCCCAAGACACAGATTTTACACTTCAGAATTTACTGCAGTGCTCAAGAAGCAGTAAGTCATTTTTATTGAGTGTCATGTCTTCCTCCATGTAGACTCATCAGACAGACATTTGCAATTTGGTCACACACAGAAGGGCACACTCAAAGAGCTTTCCTCCCTAATGGGGAAATTGTTACAGACAACTTAGTAGCAAACAATGCATCATTTAGCAAGCTTCAAAGATTCACAAATTAATTTCACAGGAGAAAATGAGATGAATTTGTAATTATGCATGGGGGAAATATGAAATAATGTAAGATGACATACTGGTTTTCATTCTTAGACACAAAATTAGTCAAATGGAAAAGTAAAATAAGATGGTGTCTCCCAAAGAATCAACTGATGCCCTCAAGGCCTCTGATAATCAGATCGACTGATGCAAACTCCTTTTGAGAGCAGTATCTGGCAGGAGAGCACGGATAAGACTTGTTTAAACCTCTATAGGATAAGCCTGGATCCTTCCATTTTCTAGTGTTCTGGATGCCAGACTTCAAAGATTGAGTATAAGAGGAAAATACAAAATGAGTCTCCTCCATCATTCCTTCCCTCCCCCAGCTTGTCACCAATGTCCTACCAGCCTAAACCATCTTCCCTTCTACCACTGGTCTAACTAGCTCTCACCAAGTCACTATTAGCCATCACATCCTACCCAACTCAACAAAGCTATCACCTTTCAGAAACTCTAAGACCCTCCCTCATAACATCTGTAACTGAAATTAATAATACATCTGCATATTTGCTATCTGTTTCCTCTGATAAGCATGAGCTCCAGGAGGGCAGGGATTCCATCTGTTGAACACTGAACACTTAGGAGTTCCTACCAATGTAAAAGTATAAGAAAAGGGTACCAATAACACTAGAGGAAACCGAAGAACAAGGGTCAGAGACTTCAGAAATAACTGATCTCTGCAAAAGAAAAAGGAATGTAACCAGAAGGAAATACAAGCTGAACGGAAAGTGGCCCTGCCATGTCTGAACCAATCAGATTACAGAGACCAGAGGTTGCATAACACTTTAGGAAGCCCGAGATGTGTGGAAACAGGCACTCACACATGCTAACGCCAGGATTCATCCAGCTGTAGACAGCATATCTATCCAGAGTCGCTCAGAAGAGTCAGAAAGTCTCAACCCTGAGATAAAAGACAGGCTCTGCATTAGAAATAAACTACAGGGTCACCCACGGGCAGTGTTGAAGCAAGCCTTTTCATCAAAGACTTTCTAAAATGTCTTCAAGATATGTTTTTCAAGGCTGGGCATGGTGGCACACACCTTTAATCCCAGTACTGGAGAGGAAGAGGCAGGAGAATCTCTGTGAGTGTGAGGCCAGCCTGGTCTACAGAATGAGTTCCAGGAAAGCCAGGGCTACACAGAGAAACCCTGTCTCAAAAAACAAAAACAAGGATACCATCTTACTCCTGTCAGAATGGCTAAAATCAAAAACACCAATGACAATTTATGCTGGAGAGGTTGTGGTGAAAGGGGAACACTCCTCCATTGCTGGACAGCCACTTTGGAAATCAGTATGGAGATTCCTCAGAAAAATGGGAATCAGTCTACTACAAG